CCTGGGCATGGAGAGGCTCCCCTGGGCATGGAGGGGCTCCCCTGGACATGGAGGGGCTCCCCTGGGCATGGAGGGGCTCCCCTGGGTGTGGGGGGCTCTGCTGGGCATGGGGGTCTCTCTTGGCCCTGTGTCAGGTCCACCTCAGCATGGAGGGTCTCTCCTGCCCACTCCTGGGGTCTCTCCTGCCCACTCCTGGGGTCTCTCCTGCCCACTCCTGGGGTCTCTCCTCGTTTGTCCTGGGGTCTCTCTTGGCCATTCCTGGGGACTCTCCTGGACATTCCTGGGGTCACTCCTGGGGTCTCTCCTGGCCACTTTTGGGGGTCTCTCCTGACCACTCCTGGGGTCTCTCCTGGGGGGTCTCTCCTGCCCATTCCTTGGTGTTTCCTGCCCATTCCTGGGGTCTCTCCTGGTCACTTTTGGGGGTCTCTCCTGCCCACTCCTGGGCTCCCTCCTGAGGTCTGTCCTGCCCACTCATGGGGTCTCTCCTGCCTGTTCCTTGGTGTTTCCTGGCCATTCCTGGGGGTCTCTCCTGCCCGTTCCTGGGGTCTCTCCTGGGGTCTCTCCTGGCCACCCCAGCGAGGTGCCAACAGTGCTAACACAGGGAAAGGCATGGATTGGCTTCTCCCTGTTGTTTTCCAGCTTTTTTTTGTGGGGGGCAGAGGTGGGGAAGGAACAAACAGATCTTTCCAAGCTGGGATTGCCCTCGGGTAACTCAATTCTACCTCACAAACAAAGAAGTGCTCGGGGCTTTTTTCCAGCCTGGATCAGCTCCTGCGCTTCTGTCGAGTTTTGCTGTTACAAAAAAACCTAAAAACTAAAAAAACTAAACTAGTGATTTGCAAACCCTGGAAACTCACCCTGCTGTGAAGGGACAGACACCCAGGAAGGGCCATCTCAGAGAGCTCGGAGCACCCCAGGGTTTCTCTCTCCCAGCTCCACCATGGCCTTGGGCGAGTCACTTCACCTCTTTTGCCTCAGTTTCCTCATCTGTAAAATGAGGGTGGTACCTGCCGTGGTACTGAGCTACCTCCAGGAGCAGGGGAGGGTGCCCAGAGCCTGGATTTGGAGGATGGGAGGGAGGCACCAGAGCCAAATTCAGCTCTGGGTTGCTGCAGCTCTTTGAGTTTTGAGTTCCAGCCTCGTGGTCCTGGCGTCCAACCGTGGAGCTGCGTTGAGGTTTTTACAAGAGAAATGGGAATTTTGGGCTTTGCCGTGGGTTCTGAGCTGCTCTCTGGGTTCCTGTTGTGGGATTTTTGGGGTGGGTGAGGCTGGGGGGGACCTTTGGGGGTCACCCAGCCACCCCCTCAGGGCTGGGGACAAACTGGGGACAAACTGGGGACAAACTGGGGACAGGGATGGACACGACCTGCGCTGCTCCGGAGGTGGCTGTGAGGGCTGGGAGAGCCTTGAGAAACCTCCTGGAATGTTCCAGAAGCTGTGCTGAGCTTCAGGGAGGGCCTGCTGAAAAAGCAAAAGCCTTTTTTTTGTGCACATAAACCAAAAAAGTGAAGATTTTACACCCAAAACAGGCACAGCCAGCCCTTGCTCCCGCCTGGGGATGGGGGGAAAGCAGGAATCCCCCATTGCTGCTGGTTCTGATCCAGGGAATTTCT